CCCCCCCCCCCCCCCCAAGCAGGAGACCTTACAACATGTCTGACAAATGGCAGTCCAAAGCCTCCAGGGATGAAGCTCCCACAACTTCTGAAGGCAACTTCTGTTCCATGGGTTGATTGTTCTCCCTGTCAGAAAATTCCTCCTTATTTCCAGGTTGAATCTCTCCTTGTTCAGTTTCCATCCATTGTTCCTTGTCTGGCCTTCAGGTGCCTTGGAATATAGCTTGACCCCTTCCTCCTCTCTGTGGCAGCCCTTCAAATACTGGAAGGCTGCTCTCCTGCCTCCCCTGGTCCTTCTCTTCCCTAGACTAGCCAGGCCCAGTTCCTGCAACCATTCATCGTATGTTTGAGCCTCCAGTCCCCTTAATCATCCTGGTTGCTCTTCTCTGCACTCTTTCTAGAGTCTCGACATCTTTTTTATAGTGTGGTGACCAAAACTGGATGCAGGATTCCAGGTGTGGCCTTACTAAGGCTTTACAGAGTGGTAGTAGTACCTCACTTACAAGAGCCAAGTTTGCAATGAAGGGAAGGATACAGGAAATTGAAGCAGAGAATCCCTCCAGGCTGGCAGGGAGGCAGGAGACAAGTCTTTAAAAAGTTGCTCGGTTTGGAAATCCTTGGCTTAGATGTGCTACTAATAAGGCTTAAATGTACTACCAATGAGACTAACTGCGAATATGTTGGACCTGCAAGGAACGACTTTAATGTTGTTGCCCTTTCCATTTTAAATCATCTTTTAGGTATCTTTGCTTACCTGAATTACCATGTTCCCCGGACCAGGCGGGAGATCTTGGAGACCCTAATCAAGGGGCTTCAGAGACTGGAGTATCGGGGATATGACTCCGCAGGTAAGCTGTCCACGAGATGGACGGTTGGCTTACACCCCCCCCCCACTTCTTCGTGTGGACGTGCTACTAAACGCCGTCAGCATCTGAACCTGTGTGTGTCTGTGTGAGAGAGGGAGGGAGGGAGGGAGGGAGAGAGACAGAGACCTTCCTTGGCCTTCCATGTACCTGGGGACCACTAATCCTGCCCGGGGTATGTGTGTGTGTGTGTGTGTGGGGTTACCTGTCGTCCTTCCTCGTCTTCCCTCCTGTGTCGTAGGGGTTGGAATCGATGGTGGGAATGAGAAAGACTGGGAGGCCAATGCCGGCAAGATCACGCTCATTAAGAAGAAAGGGAAAGTGAAGGCTTTGGATGAAGAAGTTAACAGTAGGTCTCGTTTTCCTCCTTTTCATTTGGGTGGCTGCATTTAAACACACACACACACACACACACACACACACACACACACCAGCAGGCGGGTGAAGGGAGCGGACTCTGCATTTAATTCGGTTTGTTGATTTGATTCCTGCAGCCGCACATCCCAACAGGTGACTCCGGACAGCGTATATCCTAAAACATAAAAGACAAATGAAACGCAGTTAAAACCAAACTTCTGCAAGTAATATTAACTTTGATCATCCTGAGTAAGATTTTTTTTCCCCTCCGGGGGAGCTCCGATTGAGGCCCGTGGTAAGAAGCCGAGATCCGAGTTGGGGTGTCTCCCACGATTTGGGTGGTGGGAGAGGCTTGAATGACCATTCTTGGACCCTAAAGATGGAATTGTGCTGCCTTCAAAATTTGGGTTCTTACTTGAAGTTGTATAAATCGTAGTATTGGTGCATTATTTACTACTAATCTTTTTGATAATTTGAACCTTGCTAACTTAAAAGTATTTTTAACCTAAATTTCACCAGACATAAGTAGATTTTGATAAGTAGAAATTCAGCATGTAGCGTTTTATAATATTATATACTACCAATGAAGTATGTTGTACAGGTAGTCCTTATGACCGTTCATTTAACAACATTATTTAAAAAAAAAACACCCAACAAATGTTCCACAGGACCTGCTTTGTGGCTGCACTGACAGCTACAGTTCTGAAACGAGTGGATTGAAGCACAACCAGACCAGAGATTATAACTGATGCCTCCTCTTCTTTCCATGACCAGTATCAAAAAGCCTTTAAAAGTGAAAATATATATCTTTTTTTCCCCCCCTCTCTAGAACAGCAGGATATAGATCTGGACATTGAGTTTGATGTGCACCTTGGAATTGCTCACACCCGCTGGGCCACCCATGGCGAGCCTAATCCAGTCAACAGCCACCCGCAGAGATCAGACAAAAACAACGGTAGGCCGGAATTGGGATCACAAAGTGGCTTTCTTGGGGGGGAGGGGATTTGTGGTTGTGTGTGTGTGTGTGTGTAGGTGTTCTGACCCAAGCCTCGTTCAAAGCAAACAAACACCAAACAGAGATAAAAGCAAAACCTTTGTAACGCTTCTCTGTGAATTCCGTTCATTCACAGTAAAACGCTACTAAAATCTAATCGTCCCAGATAAGAGCGAGCCTTGCCAAGACTTGTGGACTTCAGCTCCCAGAATTCCTCAGCCAGCAAAGCTTGTGGATTTCAACTCCGCAAAGCTGGCTGAGGAATTCTGGGAGTTGAAGCCCACAAGTCTTAAAGTGGCCAAGGTTGGAGACCCCTGGTCAAGATAACAGTTAAGCAATTCCTAGGCACGTCTTAAGTCCACCATCCAGGATGTGGTGCTCACAACTGACACCATAGCAGCCTTCCAGGATTTGAGAGGCTGCCACAAAGAGGAAGGGGTCAACTTATTTCCAAAACCGCTGAAAGCAGGACAAGAAACGATGGATGGAAAGAAGAGAAGCAATCTGGAATTAAGGGGAAACTTTCTGACAGTGAGGACAATTAACCAGTGGAACAGTTTGCCACCAGAAGTTGTGAATGCTCCATCACTGGAGGCTTTTAAGAAGAGATTGGATAGCCCTTTGAAATGGTATAAGGTTTCCTGCCTGAGCAGGGGCTGGACTAGAAGACCTCCAAGGTCCCTTCTAGTTTGATTGATTGATTGACAGGGCTTCAAAAGTGACTGTTTCACCATGTGTAGCAATAGCACTTATATATCGCTTTATAGTGCTTTACAGCCCCCTCTAAGCAGTTTACATTTAGCCTCTTTGTCCCCAACAATCTGGGTCCTCATTTTACTCACCTTGGAAGGACGGAAGGCTGAGTCAACCTGGAGCCTGGTGGGATTTGAACTGCCAGATTGCAGGCAGGTACGTGTCAGCAGAGGTAGCCTACAGTGCTGCACTCTTAACCACTGTGCCACCGAGGCTCAAGTGTAAGGCACAAGCAACCAGATGCACAAGCGTAGAGTACAAGCTGAGGACTTCATTGCTTTCTGCCTAGAATGCAGGAATCTTCTCAGACTGATTGGGTGTTAGATCAGCTTCCATGGAACTTGGGGGAAGGGGTCAGCCTCTCCGCCCATTTATCTACCCCACCCAACCCCTTCCTGCATAAAGATAGGTTTTGAGCAAGGCGCCCTTTTCTCTCCCGTTTTGCTTCTTTTATGGCCTTGAATGTGAATGTTCGTTTTTCCTTTCAGAATTTATTGTTATCCACAACGGAATAATCACAAATTACAAAGACCTAAAAAAGTTCTTGGTAAGTTCAGCTTCCTGGATTGTATTTTGTGGGACACCTTCAAAACAGGACCTGTTAGAATACTGTTTAACACGGGACATATTGTGTAACTGGATAAAAAGTAGAAGCCGAGATTAGTGTTAAATAAGGAAGGAAGATCAACAAAACACACACATACGTAGATAACGATGAGGACACGGTTAGGATTGTCACCCGATTCCATAAAATTTTGGTCGACCATTTCAGATCTTAAAATCGAGCATTTGTACATAACTGCCTTAAGGCTGAAAGCAAAATCTGACTGATGGGGGGGGGGGGGGAGATCAGTATCTTAGCAGTGATGCTTTTGGTAGAGAAAAGGTAAACTAAGTGGAACAGGATGCGTAAGAAACATCCTTTATTAAGAACAAGGACGACTAGATTTAAGAACAGTTTTTATCCAAGTGCAGTTTTGAGTTTGAATGCAGGGTCATAAGATTTTTGTGGAACTTAATGGCTGAGAGTAATGGGGTATTTACATGTTTAAATTGTATAGAGATTATTGTATGGTCTGTTGTGTTTAATTTTATTTTTCTTTCAATGGTGTTGTCCAGTTTTACTTGAGGAAGAGCACCTCATTTCGTTGCACCCGCTTGCGAGTGTAATGACAAATAAATTCTTATGTCTTTCTACTCCATAAATCAATTCACCCACAGAGAAGACAACGTACATTCTAACGTTCTAATATAAGTACAATGCAACCTCTGAGCATCAACAGCCTGGACTGGAATGATAGCACAGCTCTTCCCAAAATGTCGTCCTTAAGATACATCACGTTCTGTTTTGCAGAATTCTTAGCTCGCAAGCTGAGAATTCTGTAAATCTTTGTCCAAAGGATTTGGAGAAAGCCAACTTGGGCAAAACTAAATAAATATAAAACTTTTTTAAAACACCACCACCACCACCACACATATATACAGAGATAGAGGAAGATGTAAGAATAAACAATGTAAAAAAGTATATTTAGGAACTGTACATGAATATAATGTGAAGTGCATAAAGTGAGGATTGTAATATATCATGGCAGAAGATAATAGAGATAATTTGGATGCATAATATAATAGAAGCAGAGATTAGTGTTAAATAAGGAAAGATTAATAAAATATATACAGTGATCAAATAAACAATAAACTGCATTATTATTGAACTCTACAAGAATATAGTACGACGTGCATGAAGTGAGAATTGTAAAAGTGTAACACGGCAGAAATAAGCAAATAATAGTGATAAATTGGATGTGTAACTTGATGGAGAGAATATATTGGATCATAGACTTCATTAGGATGTATATATAATGTGATGATCTGATGTAACCAGTAAGTACACAAAGGCGTTGTATAACTGGAACCGTTTATGTGTATTAAGGGAAAATGTGCAATAGAGCATGACCCCAAGGTTCTTCGCAGGTTAGGCAGGGTGTCCTTTTGCAGCCAAACCGGTTGAGCCTTGGGGCGTGGCACAAAATGCAAAGTATGTTTTGTTCTGTCGATGGAACAATCCACATTGTGGCTCAGAATTTTGGGTGTTTTTCCCCTGCATTTCTTCTCTCCCCCACAAGAACATGTGCAAAATTCCACTCCAGGCAGAGACACACCCCCCCACACCCCCCAGATGGTCTGTTCCACGCACAGAATATTTTGCATTCTCTGGCTATGTCCAGATTGACGTTCTATATTGGTAAACTTTCCTGTTTCTTCCCGGCGGTTTCTTTTGAATGTTTCTGGTTCAAAAGCTGGGCCGTTTTATAAGAAATTAGAATTTAGTGTGCCAGATGTTTAGCACTTGGTCACCTCAGTAATATATTTTGCAGTCGATTTTCTCCTGGCTGAGCCGCATCCGTCATGCTGTTCAGGTTCAATGCTTCTCTGTCCTGGTTCGGGTGCAAAAACAGCCCTTTTTTTCCCCCCTCTTTTCAGGAGAGCAAAGGCTACGAATTTGAATCGGAAACTGATACCGAAACCATCGCAAAGCTTGTCAAGTACATGTACGACAACTGTGAAAGTGACGATATAAGTTTCACCACCTTGGTGGAGAGGGTCATTCAACAGCTGGTACATCTCTAGTTTTACCCAAATCACTGGGCAGTCTGATTTGTCTCATATATTTTGCTAAATCATGGATACTGTTTCATAGTAGAGGGCCAGGCACCGTTGAGGCCACTTACCCCCAAAGAACAAATTAACCAGTGGGACAGCTCGTCTCCGGGAGTTGTGATTGCTCCCTCATGGGAGGCTTTTAAGAAGAGACTGGACAAACTATCTGGAGTGGTATGAGGTCTTCTGTCTTGGACAAGGGGTTGGACTAGAAGACCTCCAAAGTCCCTTTCAGCCCTATGGTTCTATGTTCTGTTTCTCTGATGGGGACTTTTGTCTTCAGCCTCAGATACGAGAAGAACCTCACTTCCAAGGAAGATCCAAGCTTTGGGGGCAAATCTTATTTGCAGTTGTGTGGTGACCCCGGGTGGGATACAAAACAAACACAGTCACAGAAAACAGCTGAAGCCCCTTTTCTTCCATCCCTTTGCTTCCAAGCTCCGAATATCTTTGACGGAAGCCAAAAAAAACTCCCACACAAACAGTTATAAGAAGGAAGGAAAAAAAGCAACACCAACCAGGCAAGACAAGGGCTGGAGGATGTCCACAGATAACACACACTGGGAAGGACGCCAAACTCAGAGAGAAACAATAAACTAGAAATATTTACATGCTTTCTTTCCAGCGCTCGCCAGTACGCATGGCTGTCTTTTCAATGGTCACAGCTGCAGCCCATAAAGCGGATCAAGGCCCTCATCTTCTCCTCCCTGCGTGCCCTAGGATGGAGAGGGGATGGGCCTGGGTCCTCCTCTGACTGCCCAGCCAGCCTCTGCCCTTCCCCAGCCTCCTCCACAACCTCCGGAGCCCCACTTCTACTCCCTGTTGGCTGTTCCTCCTCTCCCTCAGAGTCTGACTCCCCCAGGGGCAGGACAAGTTGCGGCCATCAAAGTGCCCTCAGTTTAGCTAAGAATTATTTTAAAACTGCTAAGGATAATTGTATACTGGCAATTCTACATTCACTACCGTAATTAAGTCTTTGGAGTCATAAATCGAGGCATTATGTGAGCAGATCTGATTTTTTTATTGACATTTTTATCCACAAACACTGTAGTATTTAGTAACAGTAATAGTGTAACAGAGTTGGAAGGGACTTTGAAGGTCTTCTAGTCTAACCCACTGCTCAAGCACAAAGCCCTATACTGTTCCAAACAAGTGGCTGTCCAATTAAGTGAATGCCACAGTCATAAAGCGAGACCATTTTTCCCCGTGGGCAGTTTTGGCAGGAAACCAAAAGTAAATGCCAAAACCCAATAAGAAATGTGGCCAATTGTGGTCCTGCCTCCTCTGTGTGAGGCTGCAGACAGCTGAAAAGGCCAGCTGGTTGCCAAGAGTCCAAAATGGAGCCACAAGATTGTGGGGTTGTGGGTCTCATACTTTCAGAAACAGGTTGTCAGTTGCTTTTGAGAGAGGAGGAGGTCTGTTGTAACTTTGAATTGTTCATTAAGCAACCCGTTGTAAATTGAGGATTACCTGTGGGGTAATCTTGCTCCAAAGGGTGCTGGGTGTATTTTTGGGCCTTTAGATGCTCAAAGCACTTTATGTTTTTTTAAAAAAGAATGTAACATGTTTCTGTGTGTATCTGTGCTTGTTTAGAAAGGAGCCAAGTGTAATAAGTTTTTACCACCTATTTATTTTTTCTTACAGTAACTTTTTTTAAAATCAGAAAGGGGTCTGATCGTTCCTCTTCAGTGCATTGGAATGGGTGTGTGTGTGTGTGTGTGTGTGCGTGCGTGTGCGTGAACATGCCCAGAAGAACTGCCAGGTCTGATTTTCTTTCCTGTCCCAACACAGGAGGGGGCTTTCGCTCTGGTGTTCAAAAGTGTTCATTATCCTGGCCAGGCAGTTGGCACAAGGTGAGTGCCAGTCAGCCTGTCATTTCTGTCTCCCACCGGTTGGCACAGAGTTGATAAGATTCAGCCCTGGCCAGTTGAGCCTGCAATGCTATAACCAGGGCTAACTCACTGCACCTCTGTCTGGTTTGCCAATTGCACCGGGGTAGATAGGACAGCACTCCAGAGGGCGAACGTCATTGCCCAGAGGACCATGGGTTGCCCTCTCCCCTCTTTGGAAGCGCTTTAGAGCTCCCGCTGCCTCAAGAAAGTTCAAAACGTCCTCAAAGATCCATCTCATCCTGGGCACCCTTTTTTTTGAACTATTATCATCTGGCAGACGGTGTGGGACAATTAAAAACAAAGACAAATAGGCCGAAAAACAGCTTCTATCCCAGGGCAGTAACTCTATTGAATTCTACTGTATAGTGGAATATATATACTGTATATTAATGCAATATAGCAATAGCAATAAGACTTACTATACCGCTTCACATTGTTTGATAGCCCTCTCTAAGCAGTTTACAGAGTCAGCCTCTTGCCCCCAACAATCTGGGTCCTCATTTTACCAACCTCAGAAGGACGGAAGGCTGAGTCAACCTTGAGCCCGGTGAGATTCGAACTGCCAAGTTGCAGGCAGCCAACAGTCAGCAGCAGGAGCCTGCAGTACTGCCCTCTCACCACTGCGCCACCGAGGCTCTCAGGGGTTTTCAATTCAGTTGCACAGACCGTGAAGGATATGTGTGTTTTATTTGTATAGTTATAACATACACTGAAGAGGGCATTTAATATAGTCGTCCGAGGTGCAGTGACAATAAAGTAAACCAACTGAGTAGGTTGCTCAGGAGTAAACGATGAGTAAGTCTCCCCAATGGCGGCTGCTGCTCATCTCAACCTCTTGTTTTCCTTTCCAGAAGGGGGAGCCCGCTACTCATCGGAGTTCGGAGCGAGCACAAGCTTTCCACCGACCATATTCCAATCTTGTACCGGACAGGTAAATCGCCCCAAGCCGAGGCTCTGATTTTTCATGTTATGCCTCCGTAGCTTCCCATCTCAACGCTGTGTGAAATACCTTCCCAACTAGCCTAGTGGGACATCGGGGGATGGTAAAAAGTCAGGGCAGAATTGATTTCCCGTCTTAAACTTGGGAAGCGAGGATGGACTGACGATCTGGGAGTCTGCCTTGAGAGTTCATCCTGAAAGAAACTTGATGGGTGCAGCCCTAAGGGTAATTGCCTGAGGGCCCCGATGCCCTCCTGCCTTCTCAGCAACAGCTGGGAGAGCACTTTAGTTTTTTTTTCCCAGTACTAAAAACGGGGGGGGGGGGATATATGGATCCTTTCACTGGGCACACTTCAATAGGTAGACTGGTGGGCATTGGGTAGCATTTTGGGGAGGAGGATTTGACTGCAAAAGGCCGATTGGTGTTTCATGTTCTCTTTTTTGGAGATTGTCAAAACGCAAGAATTCATCCTCGATTAAATCAGGGGTCTCCAACTTTGGTGACTTTAAGC